ATAAGGTAATATAGTCACAAGTTCCAAGGATTAGGACTTAGACATTTTAGAAGGAGGGAGGATTTCTGCCTACCTCAAAAGATTATGTTTAAAATCCGATTGTCTGACAACTACCTCTTATCTCTGTTCATTCTGTCTTATACTCTGATTCTACAATCCTTTGAACTCTTGAGGGAACTTCCCTTCATCAAGTTTACCACTTTTGCAGTGTCCCTTATTTCCTGATGTTCTCGCTTCCCTTCTAATTAAACTACATTTTGGCCCGGCATGATGGCCGGGCTGAAATTTCACCACTTTGGGAGGCGAGGGCAGGCAGATCGCTTGAGGTCAGGAGATTGAGACCAGCCTGGCCAACATGGTAAAATCCCGTCTCTACTAAAAATACAAAAAATTATCTGGGTATGGTGGTGTGTGCCTGTAATTCCAGCTACCCAGGAGGCTGAGGCAGGAGAATGCTTGAACCTGGGAAGCAGGTGAGTCAAGATCACACCACTACATTCCAGTCTGGGTGATGGAGTGAGACTCTGTCTCAAATAAATAAATAAAAATTTTTAAAAACTACATTCCATGGGTTATCTTTACAATCTCTCCTTTATGCATAGACATTTTTCTGCTTCCTTACCCCTTTCTTGTTATACTCACATGACAAAACCCTGGCATTGGTTAACCCAGTTCTCCCTCTAGCCTGTCTTAGTCTCGTGAAACTGAACGTGGCTAGAAGAAAACAGCCTTGCTGACCAGTCTCCCATTAAAGTCCATGACCATGAACTTCAGATGGGCCCTTTGTGCTGCCTGGTAATCACACGCTATTTCCTAGTTCATTCACTTTCCTACTTTCCTAGAAGACTTTTGTGCCTTCTGTCTTCTCAACCTCTCACATCTACCTTTCCATCCTCACTGTGGGCTCATGACTTGACTCTTCCCTGAGAAATACAAAGCAAGAAGAAGTTCCTGCAGATTCCCATTACCTATTTTCCCCACCTGTCTGTGTCCTCACACTCTGCCTTCCTCCTAATGGGTCTGGGGACAGAATCCAGAGGGTCATGATCTTGCATGTGGGAATGAAAGTTTATTCCAATGACTTTCATCTGAAATCTAGCATGTCCTTCAACTATGAATGTAGTTAATAAATGTAGCATGAGCAGTACCTGTGCTTTTAGCTCCAAAAGATACCACAGATATATGAGACAGTTTTTGTAGAACTTAACAAAATATTGTATACCTATGTCACCATTTTGAAATTATTATTGTTACAACAGGGTCTCTGTCACTCAGGCTAGAGTACAGTGGCACTATCACAGCTCACTCCAGCCTTGACTTCCCAGGCTCAACTGATCCTGATCCTCCCACCTCAGCCTCCCAAGTAGCTGGGACTATGGGGACGTGCCACCATGCCCAGCTAATTTTTTTAGAGACAGGGTTTCTCTATGTTGCCCCGGCTGGTCTCAAACTCCTGGGCTCAAGCCATCTGTCTACTTTGGCCTCCCAAAGTTATGAGATTATAGGCATGAGCCACTATACTCAGCCTACTTTGAGATTATAGTCTAGTTATTAGACCCACTGCTGGATCTTATGTACAGCATTCATAAAGAAACACGTGATTTAGTTAATGTATCACAGAGTTTTTTGTTTTTTTTTTTTTTTTTTTAAGAGATGGGGATCTTACTATATTGCTGAGGCTGGAGTGCAGTAGGGTTATTCCTAGGCATAATAATAGCTCACTGTAGCCTCAAACTCCTGGACTCAAGCCATCCTCCTGTCCCAGTCTCCTGAGTAGCTAGGACTATAGGTACGTGCCACCCCACCTGGCTTTGATTTTTTTTTGTCAATGACTTGGTAATTGTGTTTTAATATAATTAGTTTTCTTTGTATTCCTTTATATTTTATGCATTTGAAAACATTATTCTGAGAAGCATCAGAAATTTCACCCATCAAAGAAGTTATGGTATATATAAGGGCTAAGAGTCCCTCTGGTGTGTGAATTATCCATGTCCCTGACTAAATCCAGTCCCTCTATTTGTGCCCTAGATGCTATCTCCTCTCACCCACTGTGCTAAGTGTCCTCCATTTGCCTTTCCAGATCTGTTCTCTACCTCCTCCTTGCTCCAGTCCCTGGAGCTGATCTCTGTGCAGCATCAACCAGATTTCCTTGCATTCTGACTTTGTTGGGATCAGACAGTGGGAGGCACAAAAAGGACAGAGAAGGGTGGAGGAGGGCGGCTTTGGGATATTTATCCTCAATCCTTCCCAACAGTCTTGGGTTGGCACAAGCTCTTTTCCAGCTTTGGTTGCACAACCATTTCCTGTGGCTAGAGCTCCCTGTCTTGATTTTATATAACTGCCCCTGATTTTGCTCCTTCATGGCCCTCCTGCTTGGTGAACACCTGTGATTCATCATTCCTTGAGTGCTCTCTCTTAAGTCAGCCCATTCCTCTGTTACAATCTCTCCAGGCTCCCCCTTTTCAGGGTGTCATTTGCTTTTTTCCAGGGGCCTCAGAACTATATGGACTCCAAGAAATGGCCCCAGCAGCTCTCCCAGCTGAGTTCATTCATTCCCATCAAGAAAACCAGCTTTCAGCCCACTTGTCCTTACAGCTACCACTTCCTTGTTAGCCAAGCCCAGTGTCTCCAATACCTCTCCTCTCTCCTCTGGTTCACTCTTCACACACTTCAGCTGGGCCTTTGCCTCCTCCCCACTGAAATTGCCCAACCAAGTCACTGATGATCAGGTCAGTAGTTCTTAATGTTCATAGGTTAGAGTCTCTAACCTATGTCTAAAATGTAGTTTATTTATTATGTATATTAATTATTATCTCTTTCTGTCCACCAGAACATAAGCTCCTCAAACCTAGGGATTTTTGTTCCTTCCGTTTTCTGGTGTTCCTCAAGTGCCTAAAACAGTGCTTGGCACATGCATTTTTGTTTAATTTAATTAGATGGTAATCATTGCCTGTTTAGGGATAGAAAGGTGTGATAACATTTCTTAATATCAAAAAGCCAACAGTCCTATAACAAAGGCAGGCTAACAAGAAAAAAGCATTATAAATGTGTTTAATCAAAATTTTAAATGAAGACCCAAAGACCCAAGGAAAATTGTACTTTTTTATTTAGTTTTGATGAAGAATAGACAGCCATGTAGAGATGTGATTGGACAAATTGTGTGACCTGATGGTGATAGACCAAGTTGGGAGGCCCATCAAGACCTGTCTGTTTAGATTCTTCTTGGCCTCTCTGTGTAGTATTCCTTCCTTCTGGTTCCGGGGCAGGACCCTTCTGGAATGAGGGTCTGTAAGGGAGAAGGAGAACTGAGTGACCTTTTTAGGTTTTATGGCTTCCTTTGCAGAGAGGAGTTTTAGTTTCTGTAACCAGACTTGAGGAAGAGGAATTCTGGTTCTGGTTGCTTTTTTGTTTGTTTGTTTAAGGAAGGAGGATCTCGCTCTGTCTCCCAGATTGGAGTTCAGTGACAAAACCATAGCTCCACTGCAGCCTCAAATTCCTGGGCTCAAGTGATCCTCCTGCCTCTGCCTCCCAAGTAGCTGGGACTACAGGCATGTGACACTATGCCCAGATAATATTTTGATTTTTTTTTTTTAGAGATGAGGTCTTGCTATGTCACCAGGCTGGCTTTGAAATCCTGAGCTTAAGAAATCCTTCTGCCTCAGCCCCCAAAGTGATGGGATTACAGGAGTGAGCCACTGGCCCGATGAATCTGGTTTCTATGACTTGCTTTGAAAGAGGAAGAGGGGCAAGAGGGAAGAGGGAAGAAGGAGGTTACAGAGAGCTTGCTTCTGAAGCCTTCCAATCTCCTTTAGTTCAAAGTACTCAGCATCCCAAAGTGTCATACTCTGGGGTATCATCTGAGCCACAACACCCCTCATATACAGAGTAACAACTGTGTTTTTCTCCCCAAAAAGGTGAAGTGACAAAAGAATAAAATAAAATACAGATGAATACATGTCATATCTTATAATGGGAATTTTTAACCTCTTAAATAAAGTTATAGGAGTTCATTGGTTTGGACTTAGCTTCTACACCAGTCCCAACATACCAAACCAAAATGGAGTCACTCATGCTAAAGTTTCACAGCACCAACTCGAAATTAGTTGTTTATCTTACCTTCCAAGAAGTCAAGAGACATAGATAGATAATAGCCAAACCCTCAAACAGACCAGTTTTAACTGGCATGATAAGGAAGTTGCCTCTGCTTTAAATTTCATAAGAAAAGTAACTTCGAAACAACCAGTCTGCTTTTTGTTTTCTGTTTCTATTCTCCTCAGCCCTTTTATGTCAATAAAACGAACCTCCGCTGCTCAGCTCATCAGAACACTCATTCTATTGTAAAAATGAGGTGCTGGCCAGGCATAGTGGCTCATGCCTGTAATCCAAGCACTTTGGAGGCCAAGGTGGGTGGATCACATGAAGTCGGGAGTTCAAGACCAGCCTGACCAACATAGTGAAACCCCATCTTTAAAAAAAAAAAAAAAAAAAAATGAGATGTTGCCTAATTCTAGAAATGCAAATAAAAGCCAATTAAGATGTCTAAACTAAATTTGTTGTAATTTTGTCTTTTGATAGTCCTAAACATAAATATGAGAACAGAGACCTCAGCAAAATCAACAAGTATAATAGCAAATAAATTTTAACATTTGATATATATTAAAAACCCTGTAAAAGTAAATGACAAACTACAAACTAAAAATTAAATCGCAACATATGTGACAAACATGGACATATATAATAATTTCTTACAGATCAATAGAGAAGATTATACCAGTTTTTAAAAATAGCGCAAAAATCCATGGAAAAATAATTCACAAAAGAAATAGTGTTAACAAAAAATTATGTAACCATCAATCTCATGAATAAACGCAAATTCAAACTACAATGAGGCCTCATTTTTTGCCTATCAAACCAGAAAATTTTGTTTTAAATAACCTTTGATTCAGTAATTCTATTTCCAGGTTCTTGTCTTAAATAATTAGGGAGGTGCATAAATATGGGTGTTCAAGGATATTTATTGCAACAATATTTATGAAAACAACCTGAAATTCCAACAATAGAGACAGACTTAAATAATATATGAAACATTCATATCATAGAATATTTTACAGCTATTTAAAATCATGTTTCTGTAGAATATACAATGATCTTAGAAAATGTTTATAAAGTCCAAGATGTAAAAAGTATGATATCAAACTTTATGTAGAGTAGGATTCCAAAATTTCAAATAAAAATACATTAGGCACATATATACATATACCACAAATAGAAAAATGACTGAAAGAAAAAAATATAAAAATGTTAACGCTTGTTATTCCCTATGCAGAGGGATTATAAGAGGTTTCATTTTCTCTTTTAAAGTTTCCTGTATTTTCCAATTTTCCCCAAATTATGTATTGCTTTCACATTTAGAAAAATAATAAATAAATGTTAACAATAATAACAGTGAGATCAAAGAGTTCCAAAAGATTCAGACATAAACACTCTATTTTTTATCATCATTTTTCTTTTTTTATAAGTGACTAAATCTTCCAGTTAAAAAGTTTTTATTTCCAGTAGAAGTAGTATTTGTATTTTTTCCTGGACTGGATTTGGATACAGGATCCACTGCAACATATTTGATTTGGAAACCTCCAGCTGTCACTGAAGCATCACTTAGAAACTTCAAGGTCATGACATTTCCTGTTGTGGGGAAGGAGGCAAAAGAACAAAGATGTTACTCTCCTTTGATTTGGCTGAAAATTCAAAGACACTTAATTCTCACAGGAAAATATAAGAATACATGAACAAGATTCCCAGAATTCAGAGGTCGATTCTCAAGCTGAAGAGTCTGTGGTTTCATTACTGCATGGAGCAGGGTAAGGGATTTTTGTATTTTTTCCTTTGGTTCTCCAATCTATCTACGGGAAATTCTGTTGATTTATTTATTACTGAGACAGAGTCTCACTCACTCTGTCGCCCAGGCTGGAGTGCTGTAGCATGATCTTGGCTTACTGCAACCTTCACCTCCTGGGCTCAAGTGATTCTCCTGCCTCAGCCTCCTAAGTAACTGGGATTACAGGCACGTACCACCACACCCGGCTGATTTTTTGTATTATTAGTAGAGACAGGGTTTCACCATGTTGGCCAGGCTGGTCAAACCCCTGACCTCAGGTGATCCACTGGCCTCAGCCTCCCAAAGTGCTGGAATTATAGGCATGAGCCACCAAATAGGCCTATCTATTGTATTTAAAAGACTCTTTGTAGAAGGAACATTGCTGAATTACAGGAGAATGGCAGGCAGGTCAGATCAGTGATGGGTGGATGAGTTATTTACTAAATTATGTCAGAGTAACAAGTTTCACATTTGTAAGAAACGGAGCTATATTCCTACTTTACACAGAGTACCTAAACACATTTTACCTGCATATAAAGACCAAAATGTGCTAAGCAGAAAGGAAAAACTTTATTATAGAACATAAAATATAGCAATATTTATCTTTTTCAGGAGGCAAAGCCCTTCTTTTTGTTTGTTTGCTTTAGGAGACAGGATCTCACTCCGTTGCCCAGGCTGGTCTCAAACTTCTGTGCTCAAGTGATCCTGCTACCCTGGCCTCCCAAAATGCTTGGGTCACAGGCATGAGCCACTACACTTAGTCTGGGGAAGACCTTCTTAATCCAGATCCCAAATCCAAATTAATTACAAATACACACACACACACACACACACACACACACACACACACACACCATATACATTCCTAATGCTTGCTGTTATCTATTAACTCATTTAACCCCCCACAACAAAGTTGTGAGGTGAGGGGGATACTTTTTTCTTTTTTTTTTTTAGAGATGGGGTTTCACTATGTTGGTCAGGCTGGTCTCTGATTCCTGACCTCGTGATCTGCCTGCCTTGGCCTCCCAAAGTGCTGGGATTACAGGTTTGAGCCACCACGCCCAGCCAGGGTACTTTTTAAATATTCATTTTACAGATAAGAAACTGAGGCACAGAGTGACTAAGTAGCTCGCCCGAAGCAACAGAACTAAATTGGCCGAGTCATATTTGAGCACAGGCAGTCTGGTTTCCAAGTTCATGCTCTGATTCTCTGACTGCTATTTTCTCCTATTTGGAAGATTTGCCTAAATATAAAAAGCATTTTTGTATGAGACAGAGAGAAAATAGGGTTAATATCTCTAATACACAAAGAGCTGCTGGAAATAAAAACGAGAAAGACAAAAGCGCCAAAAGGAATATGTAAGAAATATAAATTCATAGGCAATTCATAGGTGTTCAAAAACACTACCAAAAATTGAGTTTAGGTTATTAATGATACTTTTTTGCTCTTCTATTGTGAGAGAATTCAGAGAACATTCAGCTGGTTAAAGTGCAAATTGGTTAGGTATGAGTTGACACCCCTGTATAAAAAAAAAGAAAATGCAAATTGGGGGTCAGTTAAGTGAGGTGGTTTACACCTTAATCCCAGCACTTTGGGAAGCTAAGGCAGGAGGATAGCTTGAACTCAGGACTCCAGGATCAGCTGAGCAACATAGTAAGATCCCGTCTCTACTAAAAATAAAAAATTTAGTCTTGTGCGAGAAAATTACTGGAACCCAGGAGTTTGAGGCTGTAGTGAGCTGTGATGGTGCCCCCTTGCACTCCAGCCTGGGTGACAGAATGAGCCTCGTATCAGAAAAAAAAAAAGAAAGAAAAAGAGAAGAAAGAAGAAAAGTAAATTGGCACTGTAGGAATCTATTTTTTTTTAATGTAGCACTACTGAATAAAGACAGAGGTTTTAGGCTGGGCGCGGTGGCTCACGCCTATAATCCCAGCACTTTGGGAGGCTGAGGCGGGTGGATCACGAGGTCAAGAGATCAAGACCATCCGGGTCAACAAGGGGAAACCCCATCTCTACTAAAAATACAAAAAATTAGCTGGGCATGGTGGCATGCTTCTGTAGTCCCAGCTACTCGGGAGGCTGAGGTAGGAGAATTGCTTGAACTCAGGAGGTGGAGGTTGCGGTGAGCTGAGATCGCACCATTGCACTCCAGCCTGGGTAACAAGAGCAAAATTCCATCTCAAAAAAAAAAAAAAAAAGACAGAGGTTTTAAAATGTTCATTGAAACATTGAATAACAGAAGAAAAAAATCAGAATCAAACACCTTCAGGATGTTAAATATTAGTACATAACAGATTATGGTATATCCATACAGTGACCTATTAGGCAGGCATGAAAAAGAATTTGAATGGTCTAAGTATCATACTCTGATTTGGAAATATGTTCATAGTATCCATGTATGTGATGTTTATATAATAGAAAGACATTTGGAAGGATGGTCACTACAGAGTTATCAAATGCCTTTCTGGGATGGAGAGGTAAGTAGAGTAAGCACATGCTGACTTTTATCTCTTATTAATATGGTAGGATTACGGACAGTTTTCCTTTCTTTCTTTCTTATGGACAGCCTGCCTCCCTCCCTCCCTCCCTCCCTCCCTCCCTCCCTCCCTTCCTTCCTTCCTTCCTTCTTCCTCCCCCTCTTCTTTCCTTTCTTTCTTTTTTTTTTTTTTGAGACAGGATGTCACTTTGTCTCCCAGGCTGGAGAGCAGTGGCATGATCATGGCTATCTACAGCCTCAACCTGCCTGGACTAAGGTGATCCTTCTACCTTAGCCTGGGACTGCAGGCTGGGACTACAGGTACGCATCAGGATGCCTGGCTAACTGTATTTAAAATTTTTTTTGAGGTGAAGTCTTACTCTGTCACCCAGGCTAGAGTGCAGTAGAGCCATCTCAGCTCACTACAACCTCTGCCTCCCAGGTTCAAGTGATTCTCCTGCCTTAGCCTCCTGTAAGTGGTATTACAGGTGTGCACCACCACACCTGGCTAATTTTTCGTGTTTTTAGTAGAGTTGGGGTTTCACCATATTGGCCAGGTTGTCGAACTCCTGACCTCAAGTGATCCACCCACCTCAGCCTCTCCAAGTCCCAGGATTACAGGTGTGAGCCACCATGCCCAGCCAACTTTTGTATTTTTTTGTAGAGACAGTGTTTCATCATGTTGCCCAAGCTGGTCTCAACTCCTGAGGCTCAAGCGATCCTCTCATCTCAGCCTCCCAAAGTGCTGGGATTACAGGCATAAGCTATCATGCTTGGCTAATTTCTTTATTTTCTATTTTTGTTTCATAATATATATATATCCTGGGTTGAGTAAGCATATATTTAAGAAGAAAACCAGATCAAAACGTTAATAGTATTATGCTTGACAGGATTTTATACTAACTGTCTTATATCTTCTTTTTCTTTGTTTTTTTTTTGAGGCGGAGTTTCGCTCTTGTTACCCAGCCTGGAGTGCAATGGCGCAATCTCGGCCGCGGCTGGGTTCAGTGACTCATGCCTGTAATCCCAACACTTTGGGTGGCCAAGGCAGGCAGATCACTTGAGGTCCGGAGTTTGAGACCAGCCTGGCCAACATGGTGAAACCCTGTCTCTATTAAACATACAAAAATTAGCTGAGTGTGGTGGTGCTTGCCTGTAATCAGCTACTCAGGAGGCTGAGGCAAGAGAATCACTTGAACCCGGGAGGTGGAGGACGCAGTGAGCCAAGATTATGCCACTGCACTCCAGACTGGGTGATAAAGCAAGACTCCATCTCAAAAAAAAAAGAAAGGAGGGCCGGGCGCTGTAATCCCAGCACTTTGGGAGGCCGAGGCGGGTGGATCACCAGGTCAAGAGATTGAGACCATCCTGGTCAAAACATTTTCTGGAGAATACTAAGATAAAAATATAATGAATTTGATATAAGATTGTTTTAGTGACAAAAATTTTTACTGACATTATAAATTACTTTAACCCTTTATCAATGAAAACTTTCAGCCATTTTATTGGCACACTTATGGAAATCATAAGCTAAGCAATATTTATGAATTTGGAAATTGAAGACTCAGATACATTTTCCGCAAAGAACAAGAGTCTACAATTTTTCGTGCAAGCAGTAGCAGCATAAATCTTTAAGTATAAGCAATTTTTTTTTTTTGCATTTTACAAGCTAGCAAGCTACACATCTGGTCTTGGTTCTTTCAACTTTGAAAAGTGAATAATAACTATTATTTACCATTTTACAGTGTCCCTTCACTTTCAGGGACACTGTACAAAAAAAAAAAATCACAGTTTTGGTCCTCAATTTAGAATCTTACCTGTACTGATAATGTCATCTGGAAGCTGATCTCCACAGTATCTGAAAGGGAATTTTTATAAAAAAGATGTGTCACACAAATGAATATTATACAGCTAGTAAAGTGACTCTTATTGATAATTAAGCCTCTAAGTAATAGCTCATTATTTCATAGTTTTTAAAATTTCTATTGTTATTTTACCTGGATTTGTAAGTTTGTTATTTGAAATAATCTTACAATATTGATGATATTTTATTTTATTGAAACAGAGTCTCACTCTGTCACCTAGGCTGGAGTGCAGTGGTGCAATCTCAGCTCACTGCAACCTCTCCCTCCTGGGTTCAAGCAATTCTCCTGCCTCAGCCTCCTGAGTAACCAAGATTACAAGCATGTGCTACCACACCTAGCTAATTTTTGTACTTTTAGTAGAGTGGGTTTTCACCATGTTGGCCATGCTGCTCTTAGTGTGGACACCCCCATCAGCATAGCGGACTATAGCCCAGAACTACTGGACTAAAGTGCTCCTCCTGCCTCAGCTTCCGAAGTAGCTAGGACCACAGGTGTGCCCACCTGTACTTTATTCTTAATTCCCCCAATTCTGTTTCGTGGCATCATTAAACTATCTTTATAAACTATATTTTTCTATAGCAGTAGTCTGTCAGCTAAAGAAGAAAACAAAACCAAAAATACTTTCCCTTCAAAAACTATTCATTTTTGCAAGAAATGCCTTTGGTTTTCTTTGTATTTAAGTTACACATTCAAAATCAACATAAAAAGCGATTGAGTCTGTCATTTTTAAATTGTCCCCACTACCATTTTTTCCCATTAAATTAATATCATGTATAATAGAGAATTGAAAACTGATAGTGTGTTGATAAACTGATAGTCTAAAATAGGGGTTATTAGGTAGGGACCTGAATATATAAAATATCTAATTATACACTCTTTAATTTTGCAATATGTCATAAGAGACTCAAAATTCAAAAATTCGAAGTATATGAACGAATTGGAGTGTGATAAAAAAGATTGTGTTCTAGCATGTTGAAAAGCCAAAGGAAAAATATTAAAGAGAGAAAGGGGGCCGGGCGCGGTAGCTCAAGCCTATAATCCCAGCACTTTGGGAGGCCAAGGTGGGTGGATCACGAAGTCAAGAGATCGAAACCATCCTGGTCAACATGGTGAAACCCCGTCTCTACTAAAAATACAAAAAATTAGCTGGGCATGGTGGTGTGTGCTTATTTACCTTACTTACATCCATAATGCTTAGCACAATGCTTTGTAGGAAGAAGAAAGGCAACAATTACTGAATTTTTAATCTTTTTTTTTTTTTAAACACTGTCTTGCTCTGTCACCCAGGCTGGAGTGCAGTGGTGCGATCTCGGCCCACTGCAGCCTCCACCCAAATCCTTGGGTTCAAGCATTTCTCCTGCCTCAGCTTCCTGAGTAACTGAGATTACAGGTGCCTGCCACTACATCCAGCTAATTTTTGTATTTTTAGTAGAGACTGCGTTTCACCGTGTTGGCCAGGCTGGTCTCAGATGATCTGCTCACCTTGGCCTCCCAAAGTAGTGTAAATTACAGGCCTGAGCCACTGTGCCCCGCCTTACAATCATTTTTAAGATTGTAAGAAATTAGAACTTAAAAACCTGAACAATTTTTGCGATTCATATCTTTCTTCCCCCTATTGTCAGATCTTGAGGTGTTTATAAAATAGACTAGTTGTTACAACTTAGCCATAATCAAAAGGCAGCTCTCACTACTTTAATAAGTATGTTGTAGCAGCCAGCTAAGGAAAATCTTTGTTGAAAAATCATAAGGTGTGGCTGGGCACGGTGGCTCAAGCCTGTAATCCCAGCACTTTGGGAGGCCGAGGCGGGTGGATTACGAGGTCAAGAGATCGAGACCATCCTGGTCAACATGGTGAAACCCTGTCTCTACTAAAAAAATACAAAAAAAATTAGCTGGGCATGGTGGCGTGTGCCTGTAATTCCAGCTACTCAGGAGGCTGAGGCAGGAGAAATGCCTGAACCAGGAGGTGGAGGTTGTGATGAGCCGAGATCGCGCCATTGCACTCCAGCCTGGGTAACAAGAGCGAAACTCCATCTCAAAAAAAAAAAGAAAAATGATATGGTATTTTAGGAGAGTAGAACTATTCCAAAGTCAATATTATAGGAACAGTGGAGGGAAAATTAAAGAAGCATCAAATAAAATACTTGACATTCATTTAACTTTCTATATGGGGAACCACACGTACCTTCCCACAAAGCCATGGACATCATCGTAACTGTCATATATTTCAACATAGTCAGCCAAGCAGCCTGGGTCATCTTCAAGGTCAAAATTTAAAAAACTCAGGTGAATACGCTGACCATACTTAAGTCTAATGTGCCAGTAACAGATTTGGTTATCTTCATACTCATTTGGGAAGCCTGGAGATTTAAAAATTCGCTTTGGATCTGTAAAGACACCACCACACTCCTTTGCTGAAATGAGAAGAAAAAAAAAACAAAAAACCCCAAAGCATTAGGAAAAACATTATCTCCATTAAAAATGACATTTCTTAGCAATGTATTACTTTTTATGAAATATTAAATGGCTTAGCATCTATTGTATATTATGTATACTTTTAGCTAAAGAATAAATGTATTTTTCATACTAAAGAATAAATGTATTTTTTCATCAATAGTTACTAAATTCTCTAAAATGAACATGAAGAACTCTTTTGAATTTATTTTATTATTATTTTTTAAATTTACTTTTATTTTCATATTTTGAGACAAGATCTCTCTCTGTCACCCAGGCTGGAGTGCAATGACCCAATCTTAGCTCATTGCAGCCTTGAATTCCTTGGCTCAAGTGATCCTCCCACTTCAACCTCCCAAGTAGCTGGGGTGACAGGCATGTGCCACCAAGCCCGGGTAATTTTTTTTTGTTTTTTGTAGAAAGTGTTCTTGCTATGCTGCTCAGACTGGTATTGAACTCCTGACCTCAAGTGATCCTCCTGCCTCTGCCTCTGAAAATGCTGAAATTATAGATATGAGCCACTGTACCCAGCCATGAATTATTAAAAATTAAATATAGTAAGAAAAAAATGGCTGGGTGCAGTGATGCTCACCCTTAGTCCCAGATACTTGTGAGGCTGAGGTAGGAGAATCCCATGAGCCTAGGAGTTTGAGGCCAACCTGGGCAAAAAAATAAAAATAAAGTTTAAAAAACTTTAAAAAGTAATTAATTGTGCTTCTGTTTATACTTTTGCTTTATTTTATCTCTTAAGGCATAACATGAACAAGTCTTTTGTGCACACGCCTATGTATTTTTTTTTTTTGAGATGGAGTTTGGTTCTGGTTCTGTTGCCCAGGCTGGAGTGCAGTAGTACAATCTTGGCTCACTGTAGTCTCCACAATTGTTCAAGCAATTCTCATGCCTCATCAGCCTCCTGAATAGCTGGGATTACAGGCATGAGCCAGCACATCCAGCTAATTTTTATATTTTTAGTAGAGATAGGTTCTTGCCATGTTGGCCAGGTTGGTCTTGAACTCCTGACCTCAGGTGATGGACCCATCTCAGCTTCCCAAAGTGCTAGTATTACAGGCATGAGCCACAGCACTCGGCCTATGTCTATGTATTTTGACAAATATATATACATTTATATTACAAATCGCACTATCAAGATGGTAGGGACTTTGCCCTGCGGTGTCACCATATGTCTTCAAGGCCACAAGCACTTAGAATAATGGATCTCATAAATTCTGTTTGGAAAATCATTATACAATTTCAGGATCGAAAGAGACCTAAAGTCATTCTAATCCACTTTAAAGGAATAATTTGTAATTATTCTGTATACTGCCTTTACTGATTTTAAACTAATACCCTAATCTTAATATTTTAGGATTTGATGGAGATATTCATGTTTGCTTTTCCCAAGTCATTCATCATTTTACAGATTTCAATATGTTATAACTTGTCATAAGAAAAATAATCACACATAAAACAAAACAAAAACGGTCTATCAGAATCAGTGGTTTTCAATATGACCTAGAGGGAAAGCTAGGAAAAGCCCTGGTTAATTTTAATTCCATGTCAGGTAATGCTTTATTTCATCAAAGCAGAACAGGAGCTTAGAAAGGCCGGGGAGCAACAAATGAAGGTCAAGCATCTAGTTCAAGCTCGGTAACCACTGTACACTTTATTTTCTTCATTGGTAAAATAAATATAACCATGCCTTTCCCATTATCTATCACACAGGGTTATTCTAAGCATAAAATACAGAAAACAATTAAAGGATGTTATGCAACCTCTAAGCTATTCTTATTGTATGATAAAATATGTAACACATAGTTTGTATACCTGCATAAGCATGTACATTGCCAGCTTTAGGAGTGAATTGCTCCATCTCATAGTATCCAATCTTTGTTGTATATATTATTAGATTAGAAAAAATTCAAATATTGAACTAATTTGACTGCCTATTTGGCTATGTTTATTTAGATCTATATTTTATGTTACATCTAGTTACTGCCTCATCTATTATTTAGAATATCAGCTCTAACTTGGTGACATTGATTAATCAATAATGATTGCATTTTTCTGAAACCATTATGGTTTTTTTATTCCAGTGATGTTTCAGTGAGCTGTTCCCCTAATGCTAGTTTAGGCAGTCAAGTCTTGTCTCCTTCAAGTTAACCACATACTAAATAATCAGCATACCATGAAATCCAAAAGTGAGCTAAATGCACTGAGAATTGGGTAAGAACAAGTCTCCCAGGATTCTATACACATATTCCCAGAGTGAAAAGTATTCAGCCTCTGTGAGAAAAGAAAGCAACTTATAATAATTTACAATTTGGATTATATTCTTATGAAAGGACAATGAAATACTGAAGGACCCTTTCTTTCTTTTTTTTTTTTTTTTTAAGATGGGGTTTCACCATGGTGGCCGGGCTGGTCTTGAACTCCTGACCTCAGGTGATCCACCCACTTCAGCCTCCCAAAATGCTAGGATTACAGGCGTGAGCCGCAGCGCCCGGCCTGAAGGACACTTTCATTAGCACTTCTTCAATGACCCTAGAGTTTAATCTGTGGAAATTATCCAATGGAAGCTCAGAGAACTGAAAGTATCAAGTAAAAGAAGAATCAGGGAATATATTTGAAAAGAAGAGTTGCTCTTGAGAGGGAAAGAAGCATGGTCTGCATAAACATGTTTAAGAAAATGTAAGAGAGGGAGAAAAGGAAGATACATATTAGGGACATAACTAAATATAGGACTAAATTAGCACTGTATAGTATAGGACTAAATAAGCTTAAAGCATGTCAAAGTGATTTGAAAGTTAAAGTTATATAAATGCACTGTTAAGTATTTCGATTTTACTTCAGTTAAGACTAGTTGTAGCTCTAGGCAAAAATATTTCTTCCTGGACTACACATAATCTTGAGATATGGGTTAGTTGTAGACCTGAGAAATTGTTCTTCAATTGCTAATATCATTAAATAATAGATTTTATAATAATACACTAGAACCTCACTATGTAACTCTCCTACAGTGTTACGGAATTTCTTATAGGGTAAATCCAAATGGGACACATCTGAGGATATTTATGATCCTAAGTGCCAGGAAGACTTTGTAACATACTGTAATATTTTATAACAACGTTGGGGTGGGCACAGTGGCTCCCGCCTGTAATCCCAGCACTTTGGGAGGCTGAGGCGGGCAGATCACTTGAGACCAGCCTGGCCAACATGGTAAAACCCCATCTCTACTAAAAATACCAAAATCAGCTGGGCATAGTACCTGCCTCTAATCCCAGCTACTCGGGAGGCTGAGGCAGAAGAATCGCTTGAACTGGGGGGCAGAGGTTGCAGTGAGCCATGATTATGCCGCCACACTCCAGCCTGGGCAATAGAGCAAGATTCAGTCTCAAAAAAACATACAAAAAGCGCCATTGTCCTGAAGGAAATAGATCCAAAAAGAACAGCCTAATTTTTCTGTTAGAACATGACCTAAGAATAATTTTTTATAGTAATTATGAATTAATTTTCTCATTAAGTATTTTCTAGTTGCAAGCAACCATGAAAACAATATGAATAAAAATATACTGGGCCAGGCGTGGTGGCTGACGCCTATAATCCCAGCACTTTGGGAGGCTGAGGTGGGTGGATCACGAGGTCAAGAGATGGAGACTATCCTGGTCAACATGGTGAAACACCATCTCTACTAAAAATACAAAAATAAGCTGGGCATGGTGGCGCACACTTGTAGTCCCAGCTACTCGGGAGGCTGAGGCAGGAGAGGAGAATTGCCTGAACCCAGGAGGCGGAGGTTGTGGTGAGCCGAGATCGCGCCATTGCACTCCAGCCTGGGTAACAAGTGAAACTGCATCTCAAAAAAAAAAAAAAAAAAAAAAAAAAAATATATATATATATATATATATGTATATATGTGTGTATATATATACTGTATAACGTTAACTAGTATGTACAATATATAACTGTTAAACCATAGAATTCTCATTCTTAGTTTCAAAGTATATATATATACACAAAAAGAAATTAGAGAATTTGTTTACTTTGTCTCCTTTCCCCGTTCTATCGAAAGGACAATTTTGAATAGTTAACATTTGGCAGCACCACTTTATTGTTTTAGCTAATTCACTGAGAAGTTTTTAATCTGCTTTTTTATTTTCTTTTTCTTTATGGGTGGGAAGTTCCCTGGTACAGAGAAGATCTGAAATCTCAGACCCACCTGCCTAATCATTATTGACTCTCTGATTTTGGGTTACTTAACTTCTAAGTTTCAATTTCCTGATTTATAAAATAGATATAGCAATAGCTCCTTGAAGAATTGTGAATATTAAGTGAAAGTGTAGATGAAGGACCATAACTCAGTGTCTGTTGTAGTATAAGCACTTTCTGAATTGCAGTTATTAGTAGTAATTATCATTACCAAATTCAATTATTTCTGGAAGAGTAGCCATTTCTTTTTTAACAATCTCTTAGTAGCATGGAACTGTTTTTGCAAAACATAAAGTTATTATTTTTGACACACCATGTGGGTTGTAGCAATAGGCATCCCATCTTTCACTCCTATTGAGACGGACCCCATAATCAATAATGCCAGTTTTTCCAAATCCACAGTTGGGCCCTGGCTTCACAATGGGGTATCCAACTCTGCCCTTAGCCATCCATCCAGCAGCACAGACATGAAATCCTGCAAGAAGAAAAAGAGTTATGGACTAAACTGGTAAACTGTCTTGGCTAAGCCAAAGTCATCTTAGCAAAGGCAGCCACTTCCAACAGTAAGTTTCTCAACTGCTCAAATCCAGTCCATGTAAAGGGAGAACATTGTTTTCTAAATTAGATAAAGTTTGAATATACATGAAAGGTAACTTCTGATTTTTACTGGAAAACTACTTCTTACTTGAAAAAAATGCAAATGGACTACAAATTATTGTGGATATGAAACTAATCTAAGTTCAGAGCTGGCTTCTTTTCACAAATGACTTACTGAATGCCAAGAAATAATTTCTGAACTTATCAATTTTGAACAAAATATTTTCAAGTGGTAATTTAATTTCTATTTCAGGATCAATTAAGATATTTGTAATATTTATTTATTTATTTATTGAGATGGAATGTCACTCATTCACGCAGGCTGGAGTGCAGTGTCACACTCTCAGCTCACTGCAACATCTACCTCCTGGGTTCAAGCAATCCTCCTGCCTCAGCCTCCTGAATAGCTGGGATTACAGGCATGCAGCATCATGCCTGGCTAATTTTTGTATTTTTAGTAGAAATGGGGTTTCCCCATGTTGGCCAGGCTGGCCTCGAATCTCTGACCTCAGGTGATCCGCCCACCTCAACCTACCAAAGTGCTAAGATTATAGGCATGAGCCACCAAGCCCAGCCTATTTAGAAACACGGTCATGCTCTGTCATCCAGGCTGGAGTGGAGTGGCATGAACACAACTCACTCTAGGCTCCACCTCCAGGGCTCAAGCAATCCTGTCACCTCAGTCTTTAGAGTAGTGACCACAGGTGCGCACCACCACACTTGGCTAATTTTTTTATTTTTATTTTTGTAGAGATGAGGTCTCACTATGTTGCCTAGGATAGTCTTGAACTCCTCTTGCGTCAAGCAATCCTCCTGCATCAGCCTTCTAAAGTGCTGGGGTTACAGGTGTGAACCACTGCACCGGACCTGATATTAGTAATGTTTTAAAAGATTTGAATAAGGATAAATTCTCTCATACATTTCAAACAAAGGCTCAGCCCTATTTACCTTGCTCAGCCTCAGAGGCTGTTTTCATATCTGTCAGTGCTGCCCAAGAGCAATTTTTCTAGAGGTCCAGAATGGCTAGTAAAGACTATGGGCTTTGTATCTACCATCCCGTTTACTTTGCCCCATGCCATCCATGATTATAGACCAGCATTCATCTGGGGAGACTTGGGGGCATTTGAGAAAACCCTTATTTTTTTTTCTTGAGTAATGTATTGGTTTTGCCCAACATTATCCCATCAGCAAAGGAGTTCTGAATAGGGATGGCCCATTCTCCCCAAAGGCCAGAAGAGATGGTAGCAATCCACTTTTCTATAAAGAAGCACATAACACCAGTTGATTGCTGGGATTTTCTCCAGGTCTTCTGATACCATTTCCCCAGTTTCTTTCTGCTTCTATCTCATGACCTACCTGTCCTCCTTTTCCTTATAGCTTTTGATTCTGAAGTACGAATACATTCTCCCACTTAATGTAAAAAATTGGGGAAAAAGCCATTAAATTCAATATTTCTCCTACCAAGTAAATTTCCTTGTAAGACTCAATATAGTACTATGGTATCATTTAACAGCCTCCATACTCAGAAGTAAAAAAGAGATAAAACAATACTAAAAATGAATAGCAATGGAATTGAAATTAATGAGAAATTTAAATGATATTGAAATAATGAGGTTTTCATTTTCTTTTGATTTTTATTTTATTAGATAACACTGAATTAAGACCCCAGATAAGTTGCTGGTACTAGAAACTTTCTGTCAACTCTAGGCAGATGGATAGGGGAAGTCAGAGAGCAAAGATGTCCTAGGGGCTTAGTGATGTAACAGAAGTGGGTTGGAGAAAGAAGTCTTGCTAGGGTCTAGGAAAGGTGAATTTTTTTTCCTCCAAGGATAAAAAAGAAGAAAAATCATTGTGAAATTAATTACCAATTTTTCTGGCTGCCTCTAGCTGCTTGTAAGTTGCAAGACGGCCACCTTCAAATTCACACACCGCCTTAGCTTCTGCGTAGGTAAGCTTGTACTTCCCAGAACGTGCTTCTCTGTGGTACACACCTGCTGCCCGTTCTGTAAAATCGCATGATGTCATAAAAGCAGTTATTTCTTCTTATAGAACAGGGGATATTTTGTGGCCTCAGCTGGAAGATTACATCAGCTACTGTTCCTGCCAAAGGGCTTTCTTTCTGGGTTGGCTGCCTTGGGTGGCTAAGTTTTCATTGTTAGGAAGCTTTGGGGAAAGAGATAAATGGTAGGGAATTTTAGGGGAATTTGGGGCTATAAACAGAAACTTGAGGCTAAATTATGTTTTTGATATGATAGCCTGAAATAAAGTTTTTATTTATTTTATTTTATTTTTGAGATGGAGTCTTACTCTGTTGCCCAGGCTGGCTCACTGCAATCTCTTTCCTTCCTGATTCAAGTGATTCTCCTGTCTCAATCTCCCCCCGTAGCTAGGATTACAGGAATGTGCCACCACGCCCGGCTAATTTTTGTATTTTTGGTAGAGATGAGGTTTCACCATGTTGGCCAGGCTGATCTCAAACTCCTGACCTCAAGTGGTCCATCTGCCTCCACCTCCCAAAGTGTTGGGATTACAGGTGTGAGCCACCGCACCCGGCCTAAAATAAAGTTTTTATAAAACATTGCATTGTGACACTATCCGCAGGTGATAAAGTTTTGGTTTTCTTTTGGATATAAGCTATATAAAAACTTGCAAAGGTAAGCAATATGGGGGAAAAAAAGGAGTTGAAGTCAAAAGAAACCAGTGAAGACAGATCCATTATGTAGGTTCACATGATGGAGAAAAATAAGCTAAAATATCCAACTGAGGGAAATGACTAATGCAATACAGTTAAGAATTTAGTAAACAAATAAAAACTGAGGAAAGATCTGAAGGGATCCAAAGCAAATACTAAAGTAGGCAAAGAAAAATTGATTCAAACACAGCAGAGAAAAAACTGGACACACCTAACTACCAGTTAATGCCCAAATTTTTTATCTGATTTGTCTTTTTTAGTTCACATATTTTTCCCAACATATTTTAGGCAGCGTTAAGTCATACATGAGTTGTCTTCCAATATATTACTGTTTAAATGGATTGTTTTGAGTTTGGAGTGCCTTCTACCATAGAAACAACATGAAAAGATTCCCAGGACAATAGTCATAACATCAGCTCTGTAGTTAGTTCTAATAGTTCTATGTAGTCTGACATTGTGGTTAAGTCTCTGTATCCTAACCTGTGCAATCAGCCACCATTAGGACCACTTTCAATGAGAACATATGTTTCTTGGCATCAAGAAATGAATCCAGGGGAATTAGAAATATAGTTCTTTATTTTCCAACCCAAGCTGAAGTTGACACTGACATAGTTCAATAGGAGAGGTTGCTTTGCATTTTCTGTTTTTCTGAACTCCAAGGATCCTGTGCTTATACATTACATAGTAAATCTCGTTACTCACTGATTTAGTCAATCTGATCCTCGAGGTCAGAGAATACCAGGAACATCAAGGAGTCAAGTTGTTTCTCCATTGAAGGTTACCTGCTGCCCAGTGTCCTTCATATACAAAGCCTCATTAAACTTTCACTAGTTTTCAATTTGGTTATTTTGAGCATTAAACCACAGGGTATTTTGCTAGGTGCTGTGGGTCAGGGTCTATCCTCAAGGAACTTGGACACTAGTGAGTATTTTGAATTTCTTTATCTTGAAATAGAAGAAAACTAAGGCTTTTGGTAGAGATGGGAGGCATGTTTAACTTACTTGTGTATTATAACAGAGATTGTTATTAATTATTAAAAATGTTAAAATTCTGTTTCCTGAGAATATAGATTAAAAGACCTGTATTTGAAAAAAATGTGTAGAAATTATTTTAATGTATACAGTTTTCTCAAACTGATTTTCTATATATTTTATTTCAAAATTGAAATGTAATGTTTATAGAAAAAATTAATTAGTGTTGGCTGGGCACGGTGGCTCATGCCTGTTGTCCCAGCACTTTGGGAGGCCGAAGCAGGTGCAGCACCTGAGGTCAGAAGTTCGAGACCAGCCTGGCCAACATTGTGAAACTCCATCTCTACTACACGTACAAAATATTAGCCAGGCATGGTGGTGCACACCTGTAGTCCCAACTACTCGGGAAGCTGAAGCAGGAGAATTGCTTGAACCAGGGAGGCATGGTTGCAGTGAACTGAGATCATGCTACTGCACCCCAGCCTGGGAGAGAGAGCAAGACTCCGTCTCAAAAAAAAAAAAAAAAGTAACGGATTAAAAAAATAATAATTTAAAATTTTCCTCCCAGTAATTTTTCATTAAAAAAAAATCTTTAATTTAGATTCGGGGGGTACGTGTGAAGGTTTGTTACAAAGGTAAACTCACGTCACAGGGGTTTGTTGTACAGATTATTTCATCACCCAGGAGTTAAACCCAGCATCCAATAGTTACCTTTTCTGTTCTTCTCCTTCCTCCCACCCTCAGTAATTTTTCTTAAACTTTTGGTACCTACTGATACTTGTCTAGTAATAATGTAATAACAGAAATGCAAACAATTTTTATGTTATAATTTTTTGATTTAATTTATTAAATATTAATATTCCACATTGTCCTCTAACAGCACCAAACTTCCCAGTGTCTTGCCATATGAACAAATACAGAACTCTTGGAGTATGTATCTGATAATTTTAAATAAGGTGTTTTATTAAAAATATTTCTCAGCTGGGTGTGGTGGCTCACGCCTGTAATCCAAGCACTTTGGAGGCCAAGGCGGGTGGATCACCTGAGGTCGGGAGTTCAAGACCAGCCTGACCAACATGGTGAAACCCCGTCTTTAAAAAAAAAAAAAAAAAAAAATATATATATATATATATATATTTCTCAATTTAGAATTTTGAGCTATTGAGATGGACCTTTGTATAATAAATCCTAATTTTACCTTTCAGAAGAAATAATATTTTATTAATTTATCTAGTTAATAGTCATTTATTAAAACTGAAAATTTGTTTATACAATAAATGTTTTCTCCTTTTAGTGAGTGGCAACAGTAGAAATTGACTCTGGTTTCCACTTTTGTTTCTATCCTGGAGTTGGTATAACCTGATGAGCCTCAGTTTCCTCATTTGTCAAATAAGAATAATGATAGTTTCTGGACCATGGGAGGAGCCCAAGATATGTTACTTTTCCCTTCTTTCTTTTTCTTTTCTTTTTTTTTTTTTTTGAGACAGGATATCATTTTGTCACCCAGGCTGGAGTGCTTTGGTGAGGTCATGGCTCACTGAAACCTCTGCCTCTTGGGCTCAAGTGATCCTCTCACTTCAGCCTCCTGAGTGGCTAAGATTACAGGCATGCACCACCACACTCAGCTAATTGTATTTTTTTGTAGAGATAGAGTTTCTCCATGTTGTCCAGGCTGGTCTTTTTAATTCCTGGGCTCAAGCAATCTGCCCACCTCAGCTGTCCATAGTGCTAGGATTACAGGTGTGAAGCACCACATCCTGCCTTCCTTTCCCTTCGTTTCCAGATTCAGCAATAAAAATAATTGCTTATCTGTGCGTTTCTGATTCTCATGATCCATGTAAAATGATAGTAATATCTTGTCCTTAATTATTATTTGTTTTTGTTTTGTTTAAAGTACTATTTTAAAAATTAGATGATACCAGAATTAAAACAAGCCTCAGGGATTCTTTACTTCTACCTTATCATTTTACCGGATTGGAACCACAACCAGAGAATTTAAAGTAAACTTGTCCAACCTGCATCCTGCCAGGACAGCTTTGAATGTGGCCCATCACAAATTCATTAACTTTCTTAAAGCATTACGAGTTGCCTAGGACAATTCTTCTTCTTCCAGTAGCCCAGGGAAGGCAAAAGATGGGACACCCTAGATTTTAAGTGTCCTGTTATTGATAGTTGCTAACGGATTTATGCCTTCTAATCCAACTATCTTTCCTTCCTAAATTGTTTCTAATATTATATTGATCCAACCATCTGTAAACATCTGTGCTAAGCTGACTGATCAATAATTTGCCCTAGATTGAAGCAATTGACAATTATCCTGACAGCCAGATTTGTAGCATACATTAACAGACATTTGAATTTGCTTCTCTTTACGTCTGGGGCAGAACTTCTATTGTCCAGATTTATATTTTTGTAACATACAATGAGACGTTAAAGGACAACTCCAAATTACTTGATTATTAGAGAGTTTGATAACATTTCAAAGTTTATCTGCACAGATTTAATTCTTACTAGCTTTACAACATTTAAAAAAAGATCCTGACAAATACGAGTGTATTTCCTACATTTGATTGTATACAACAACAACAAAAAGAGATGGGCTCATTCCTCTACTAAATTCCAGATCCTGTCTTGGCCAAATGGATCACAATGAAATTAGTTCACTGGCTCAAGCTGAAAAAAATATGTGGCAAGGCTGTGCACTACAAATTAGCCTTTTTAATGAAATCTGTATGGCTGTAGTTATTACCAGAGAGAAACATGCCAAAAGGGAAAATATTCTACAACTGTGCTGTTTAGCAAGCATAAAACCAAAATCTAGGTTAATTTTGCTCTTTATTTCTTTATTCTATGCAAGAATCTATCAATTTTTCCCCAAGAATTTTTTTTTGCTATTAAACACAATAATGAATGTAGAGCAATATCAATTTGTATCATAAGAATTAAAGCAGTGTTTAGCATACTATAGTATAAGGGGTGTTTGGGGTTTTCTGCATTTTCCTTTTTTGATCTATTATTTATCTTAACTGTTTGGCCTTTGTCATTCCTTACATTTACCTAAACAAAATAGCAAAAGAAACTTTCCTTGTCTAACAAAAGGGTCAGAAAAGTATGTATGGATAGTACAAACAGAAAGAATCAAAGTGGTAAGAATGCATTCAGAAGGAGAAACATTTCTTACTTTTTTCTCTATTACAAGCTGGCTTTGTCAAAATAGTAAAAAATATTTGGAAAAACTAAGATATAGACTACAGCTCAGAATACACAAAGCAATTATTATAACATTTTTGTATATTCCACTTTACCTGTTATGATTCTGAAATCTGGTTGCAAATGCAATGACATAAAAACAAAAGACTATATTGGCGTTTCCACTTGGTTAAAGAAATTCTCCTCATTGTGCTACTACATCGGGTTTGAAAAGTTTGAAAATATATTTTCATATTGAATATAAATATTAACTGCTATTTTCTACTGAACAATTCACTTTATAAAATGCCGTTTTTAAATTTTAGAGGACAAGAGCACTTAAAAAAAAAGGCATTTGTATTCCAAAGGCTATCTTTCCTAAGCATTTTCTTTGAGAACGTCAGCCTTGTACAGAATAGAAAAAGTTACTGCTTTAATTTCCTTCTCCATGATTTAAATAATTGGCATTCTCAACAAGAGGTTAATGAGTGAAGTTTCTTACCAAGCCATATGGAGTTATGAAAAATTCCATCCTTGAATCCCCATCCTTGAGCCTCTTCCCATAGCAAGAGAAATAAGTAAATTAAGATGATCATATCTTTAGTTGTAGTGAAGTAACAGCCTGTTAGGGGCTGCTTACAATAAATTCTCAGAGCAGCGGCTGAAATGTGACTGAAACATCTGGTTTCCACATCTTTTAAATAGTTTTTTTCAAGTGTGAGGTCAGCAACTATTCTCCAATGGCAATTTCCACTACAGAGTTACACAATTATTTCAGTGTCTGAAGCAAATCCTCTGACTCATTTGCATTGGCAACCAAAACTAAGAAGATAGAATGATTATCTATGTTTTAAATTCAGTTACTAAGAACGGAGTTCATTTATTGTCAGTCACAAACACTTTACTTGATGCAGATTTAGCAGTGACTAAAAGTCAAGCTTCAGTAGGAATTTCAAGATAAATCCTAAATGTCTTATTTGCCATGTCAATTACGGGATATGGGATTAAACACTAATCTTTTATTGGTAATGTTGAACTGGCTTTTCCTAAACATTGTCAAGCCTGTATAAAAAATTTAAAACAAAAGCTTGCACAGTTTGGTGAATCCTAATTTTTCTCCAATGATTTATGACTTTCTTACTCTCTGTTTGCTTTTCTTCTGGGGTGAGGTCTGTTGCAGTCTTTGGTTATTATGTACAGCAGTGAAATAAATGCATCAGCTCCCAGAAAAGTAGTTCAATTGCAGAGTGTCAGGGTGTTCCAGCAGCTTTGGGATGTCCTATTATAACACAGTTTTCCCAGGCCACAAATTCTTGAAGTGTTGGGAGAAAAGTGGGTAGACTAATAAAGTTAACAAAAATATATATGTCCCTAGTTTCCCTAGATCATTCTAACGAAGAAGATGATCAAGGTAATAGTTAATAATTATTACAGAAAAGTCATCATGCCTTCAAATATCCCAAACTTTCCTCCTCTTTTGTGTAAAATCCTTGAGTAACAGATATGATAATATTCCCACTGCCACTGATGCTAATGTCATTTCCTGTTGTTCATTGATAGCCATTTATTGTCAACTTTTGATTTTTTTTAAAAAAAATTGGTCTTGTTTTGTTACTTAGATTCTCTACTTTTGGTCTCAGATTGCTTTCCATTATAGCATTCATTTCTCCCAAGCTTTCTTAGTACCTCCAATGATGTTGGAGTTTTTTGAAAAAGCCAACTTATTAGACATGCTCTGATCTGAAGTTAGCTTCAAATCCCTTAGATGTCTTTGCATTGAACATCTCAGGAATGTTCTGGTCTCATCTCTTTTTAAAAGAGCAGTTATGGGGATGTAGGCTGAGAGAACAGAATTTATTGGGTGCTCAGTGGATTATGCATAAAGTTACTAGCGTTCAAAAATCTTTATTTTGGACCGATGGCACATGAAAGATGAGGGAATTGTATCCAAGTTCACAGATAGGGTTAGTGAATTTAAGTTTGTTGCAAAAGAGAAGTGTATAGTCTAGACCAGGTGGTGTGACTATGAAGAAGATAGGCATGGTTAGTGAGAGCAAGATTCATAGGTAGTTGGAAGGAACAAACCATGATGTTTCTTTGGAAAGTATAATTTTTGAGTATTTTAAGTCTGTGGTTTAGGAAGTAAATATAACTTTACTTGTGCAATGCTACAGCAAAACTTTCTTAAAGCCCTTCCAGTTCTTTGCTTGTCACATCCTCCAGCGGTGCCCTTTCCGCATCTCTCTCAAGCTCCTAATTTTCCCCTAGTTCTAATTTATCAAAAATTACTCTCAGAAAAGAGTTTGCAATTAATCTTTACTTAGGCCAGATAACTAAGAACAGATACCCTTCTGTGTTCATTTGCATTTTAATGAAGTTCCTAGTAGAGCCGAGTGTAAATGCTCAATTTGTTTTAACACAAAAATTTAATGAGTTGCTTTGATGAATTAACCCAATCTGGGGTGAGAATTTCTTTCTTCCCTCTCCCAACTTTCATGCAGAATATAAATATTTCCCCTTACCTCGGCATAGTGTCTGAAAAATCTCATCCTCCCTATCATCAAGGAATTACAGAATAATGCCTAATGTTGTGGGTTCTCATTTTGAGGGGCATTCAATTCTATTATGAAAAGAAAGGTGAAATGGGGTTTTCATATGGAAAAGATGCAGAGGGTAATCCCAAGGACAAGAGAGAAAAGACAAGAGAGAGTAGCTAAGGAAATGTTGCCTGTAAACTTATCTTGGAAGTGGTCTAAGAAGCACCCCCTGCCCAGCTTCCAGCACACACCACTCAGGATGAGCCTCCTGAGGAGCTGGGAGAAGATACACTGATGGAATTTCCTTTCAAGGGCTTGGAAGACTTTACCAGTCAAGTATTCTGCCTTTGCAGAGGAATGCCCTCCCCTCCCACAACTTCTGGGTCAAGATGTGCAGTGGCTCCCTCACACATTCACCACTAACTGAAAACCCAGCAAGACTGCTTTTTGTAGAGGAGTTCCTCTTTTGGTTGCTTTTCCATAATGTTCCAATATCCATAGGCCTAAGCAGCTATTAGATTCCTAATGGCATGGTAGGGAGAACTCCATATCTGAATCGGCATAGGGCTGCTCTGAACAAGCTTAAGCTCTCTTAACCTGCCGTGGTAGTTCATGATGTCACTATTATGTGAAGATAACTGAAAAATTGAGACATTAGCCAGTATGCCAGTGTGTGCCTGTAGTCCCAGCTATTCAGGAGGCTGAGGCAGGAGGATCACTTGAGCCCAGGAGTTTGAGGCTGCAGTGAAGTATGATTGCATGACTACAGTATAGCGTGGGCAACAGAACGATATGATGTCTCAAAAAAAAAAAAAAAAAGAGAGAGACACTAAAGTAGAATTTGAAACATCTGTCAGTGGTTAAGAGGAAATACTTTATATCCTTTTGACATGCTGAGTTTCAGCTGACAGGGAAAAGGGATGGGGAAGTGTCAGGTGAATATAGACAGGAGAAAAAGAGAGAAGGAAAACAGGTTCTAAGAGAACACATCTGATTATACTTAAGACTGGATTAGAATGACAAGATGTGCAAAAATGCAATTCTTTGACACACTGTATGAAAAATAAAATATAAATTATATCCTTTATTGATTATATGTTGCAATCTTGGAAAGAGAGGGAAAAATGCAAGATGAGATAAGAAAAGGGTGGAGCAAGCCCAGTGAGTTACAAAATATGTCAATACATTCTTAACACTGCCAGTAAGGACATAAATTTGCAGTACTGGAATGCCCACCCACCCCCAGATCTCCACATGGACTAAGGATGGGAATAAAGGCAATATGGGAAGAAAAACTCATTCCCCTTGAGTATGATTTAAAACGATTAGAGAGAAATTCTTACGTGCGACATAGAACAAGCTTAAAGACATGAAATATGTGGCATTGTACTCATTCATTCAATAATGAGTGCAAACTTTTACAGGGTGAGTGAGCAGGATGGAGCCTAACTAGAACAATGGGAAATATTTGAAAAAGTGAAATATTTAATTATTTTATATCAAAAAGCTTTGAGACAGTGAATATGAGCCTGTGTACAACACTGAATGGAATAATGCGCTTTCAAGTTTATGGGTAAGCAGATGTCAGAAAGAGATCCAAAACTAATGTTGTACTTCCAATACTTATGCAGTGTGACAGTTGTTAGTAATCTTCACCAAATATTTCCAACTCTCCAACTTCTAGCAAACACAATAGCATTGTACTTGTGTCCATCTGTGGTTTGATGGGACCATGTGATTATTTATGGGATGTGAGCAAAAATTTTGTATGTCATCTTAGAGGTGATAATTTGATTGCTAATTCTCCAGAACTCTTTCCTTCTGGTATGGAGGGAAATATCTTTGATGGCAGCTATTCTTTCACCCTGATACCTAATTGATCCCTGGATTTTATATAACCTGAATGAACTATACACCTTTCTTATTCTAAGTTATTGAGATTTTGGGGTCACATATTACTGCTAGCCTAACAATCTATTCTCTGATTTATAGGAAGAACTGAGCTAATATAGATATTGAAACACGAGGTGGCCAGGTGCCATGGCTCACGCCTGTAATCCCAACACTTTGGGAGGCCGAGGTGGGCAGGTCACAAGGTCAGGAGTGGCCAGATCAGCCTGGCCAACATGGTGAAACCCCATCTTTACTATAAATACAAACATTAGCTGGGCGTGTTGGTGCATGAGCTACCACGCCTGGCCTAAGATGGTAAATCTAATTTTTGAAAAGAATCTTTTTCTTTCCATCATGTAGGTGGAAGCTACAGTGAGCCAAGATTATGCCACTGCACTCTGGGTGACAGAGTGAGATTCTGTCTAAAAAAAGAAAAAAGAAAAAGCACTATGAGGACAGGAGTATTAAAATTTACAAGTTCCTAAGAAACTGGAGTATTGTGTTTTTAACTAGATAAGTGAAAAACAGATTAGTCATTATGGGAAGAAAGCCAAGTAATAATTCATAGATTTAAAAAAGAAAAAGCACCATGAGGACAGGAGTATTAAAATTTACAAGTTCCTAAGAAACTGGAGTATCGTATTTTTAACTAGATAAGTGAAAAACAGATTAGTCATTATGGGAAGAAAGCCAAGTGATAATTCATAGATTTGTGTTAGGTTACATGGCACAGCAGGTTACTTTTTTAATTTTAATTTTTTTAAATTTAAATTTGAATTTTTTGAAACATGGTATCATTCTGTCATTCAAGCTAGAGTGTGATCACCGCAGTCTCAACTTCCCCAGGCTCATTTTTGTATTTTCTTTAGTGGTGGGGTTTTGCCATGTTGGCCAGGCTGGTCTCCAACTCTTGAGCTCAAGTGATCTGCCCGCCTCTGCCTCCCAAAGTGCTGAGATTACCACTGTGCCAGCCAACTTTTGGATAACTCCAATGTACTTAAGGTCTATACCTTAGCCTCCAAATAGATATTTAACTTTTTGGAAATGTTTACTAAGGCCATTGTTTGTGTTGAGCATTATGCTGTAAACAGTAGGTAGGGATATAAAGATTAATAAAATATCATCTCAAGGAGTTCACACTTCCCTGTTTGGAATATTCTCAAGTTGATTTGATTATTCACTTGGAAGTTTTGGAAAGGGGTTTCATTAAATGTAATGCTATGCCTGCTGTCATTCCACATCCTCTGGCATAGTGAAGGGAAAAT